CTTAGTGCGTATTAAAGGAAAAAAAGTTAAGCGTGCTTGCATGTCCCGAAAAGCTCCGTCGGATGTTTTTTAGGTTTTTTTTATGGACTACCCCAAATAAGGAAACAATATTTTCTCACCCCACAAAAACTCTTACTAAATCGGGTAAATATTTTACACACCAATCAATTCAATCAATTCAATTCAATTTTGTTTATCACTCACTATAACTTTTTTTAAGGTTTATATATTTGTGTACTCCATAATTAATATATATACATATTATTATCGTTCAAAATATTAAGACAGATTAGGCAGATTGTTAAACGCCACGATCGCCGATATAATGTGACTGTGATGTTAACGGTTTTAATATGACCCATGCTTTTTTATAAAAAATAATCGGGGTAACCAATGTATAAATTCAATAAGGTTTAATTTTTTCTCTTCAGTTTTGTTTTTGCTTTGTTGACAAGATTTTCTATTTTTGTTTTGTCTTTTTGTTGTGATTGTGATAGGGTGTTATTTCGAGAGGCATTACGCCACCAACCCTTTTGCCATCCTTGACATGCACCGGGCAAGAAAATCACCCATAATTTGCTAATGTTTAATACGTAAATAATTGTGTGCAAAATAACAATCTATTTTTATTTTGTTAATAGAATCTTCAAGTTTTATTTGCCAATTCTAATAAAAAGGTATCTTTTTTCACTGATATATATATGTATATACTTCCTGGACAAAGAATCTGGACGTCATAATAAAAAAAATTTAAAAAAATAAATTTTTAAGTAGAAAAATGAAACATAATGATGTGTTGTTGTTGATGGATATTACTAAAGAACGTGTTCAACAAATCAATTGCGGCGAAAGTGCCAAACTTTTCACGAACTGAAAATGATTCAAGGAAAATGATAGAGGAAAGAAAACAAAATCATCAACTACCAAGAATTGTTATCGTAAAGTTCCAGAGTTGATTTTTCCTAATTTTGGGATCTTCTAACAATCCTGCTTCCGCGAATGCCAAGTAGAAGGAATTAGGAATGAGTTAATTAGCAAATATTGCTTTATTTGCTTCTGTTATCACAATCACAAATATTTGTGGCGTCTAGCTGTTTGTGGCTTTACGTTTAATACCAGTTTTTCCCATTGTTTTTTGAAATTCAAATTAGGTAACTCAATTTGACTCGGAGTTTTCATTATTAGGTAAAATTTAGAATTTATCGATAAGGTTTTTATTTAATGTGAGAAAATTTAATTTTTTTGGTAAATCGTTTATCAAAAATTGTAAAGGTGAATGAATTTATTAACTAGAGCAATAATAATAATAACAACAATAACAATATTAATAATGACGGTACTAATTAATATATGGAAATATGTATTAATTAATTGCACAACATTCTTGTCAGCAAAAAAGTAACCAAAATTATAACAATTTCCAGACTATTATTATTTACTATAATTGTTAAATTATTATTATTTATTATCAATCAATAAATGGGAATTCATTCATTTCGGTCATTTTTCCCAAGAATTATCTAAATATGGTCTATCAGTGTTGGTAGATTTAGCGCCTAAATAACAATAACCGAATAAATTTTTTGATTTTGGTTTTTTTGGCAAATCTCAATCACAGATAATGTATTTTGTATGTGTGCACAAATATATAGTAATAGTGTAATTTTTTATTTATGATGATGTGATACGTTATCACCATCTTTTGGAGGAAAAGAGAATATAAGCACAGAATTTTATATTTACGATTTTGTCAGCCTCGTTTTTTTTGCCGATTTGGACTAAGGAAATTACAGAATAAATATCATTATACATCATTATATATAATTTATAACAGCACATATAAAATCATCATACCTTGTCATTTTTATTATGTGTGGATCCATGTTTTTTTTCAAATGTTTTCATAAATTCATTTGGGATATAGTTTTTTGTTGTAATCTTGTAGAAAATCACCAATTCGTTAACTATTATCTATATCGTAATCATCGTTAAAAAATACTACTAACCTGTGATATAATCTCGGGATTTGATAGTTTGCTAAATAAATCATTAGGTAAATTGACGTCTCCAGGAAAATCAGTTAATGGCCAAGAAAAAGATTTACATTTGGCTCTTATTAGATGTTGAGTCAAATCACTCAATAAATATAAATTCTATAACAAAAAAATTTATTATTAAACCCATTTTCTGTTTCTTTAATCTCTTTTCAAAGAATAAGATTTATTCGTACCTCGCTCTGTTCTAATGATTGTTTATCGCGAACTTGTTTTAATTTTCCTGCAAGACAAAACAAATATGAAATATTCTCCGAATCTGCAATTGTATTTAAGAAAAAATCTATATAACTTTCAAACGAAATGAAATAATTATATTTAATATCATAATTCAAAATGTGCATATGTTGCAAATTATTGATTATAAATAATGATTTACTTACACTATGAATTCAGAAAGGACATTTAATTCGTGCGAAAAATCAGGATGATGGGAAAGGAGATGAATCAATCTAACTAAAGACATCTCAAACAACAGATTCTTATCACCTTCAATAAAGAATAAAGATATAAAAATATTATTGTTAAGAAAATTAAACTTGAGAGTGATTAATTAGTAAATACTTACGGATCGACCCAGTTGCACGAGATTGTCTTGTCAAAAAAACTTTAACCTATTGTATATGTGCAGTATAATTTAAAATTCACATCTATTAGTTGAACTTAATATTAATATCTTTAATATAATTTTAAATTTATTAGCATTATTATTAAATTTACCATATCACGAATTTCGTGCGCATTTATATCAACACTTGAGGACTTTCCTGCTATATAAAAATAAAAAAGAAGGTCGCGTTCTCTTTCCACATTAACCAAAGATTCTAAATCTATTTGCTTGTAGGTATTAATGTTTTATTTGATGTAAATATGAACTAATGGTATTTTTATTATTGATTTTTCCATAATAATAATGTTTTTTACAAGCGTTTAATTTTTGCTCTAATAATTTTTGTCAGTCGAATCAGGGATCCTATTATTACTATACAATGTGAATAAATGAGTAAGAACAATCAAGAAGTATACCTTATCATATTTCTTTTACTTCAAAATTTTCGAGTATTGTGCGCATTGTGCGCTTTTTACTCTTTGTCCTGATTTTTTGCTTTATTCCGTCGTTGTCAAATATATATACTAATGATATAAAAATGAATCAACGCACACTCCAGCATCCTATTAACTAATTTATATAAAACCACAAGTAATTTTTTTTGTAATTTTTTTTTAGTAGAGGTAGGACTTGGTTAATTTCAAGGTAAAAAAAGATTATCAATTTATGGACTCATGAAGATCATTTTAATATTAAAATTTAATTTTTATTATTGTTACTTGTTTTACCTTTTTTTATTATGTACAAAAATAATTTTTTTAATTCTATAATTACTTTTTTTTTTTTTTAAATTAAAATAAAAATAAAATAATTAATGTTCTTAATTAATTTCATAAATTATTTTAATATGATGAATATGAGATGATGATTTGATTTATATGACTAGTTGATATGGTAATGTTTGTATGATAAATAAATTATATAATTAGCAAATCTAAAATAATTCCCTTTTTTCTTAATTTTAAATCAAAAAAAAACTTAATGAAGGCTATAAGAATTTGATTTTTTTAAATATTTAAGATATTGATTATTTCAAAAGTTTGAAGAAAGTTTTAAATCAAAAAAAAAAAAAAAAATGCAAAATAAATCCATCTTTATATTTTTACCATTATTGCACCACTACCACTAATAACTACTATCATCGGATGATGCACATTGACAAATCATCTATTGAAAACCATAATAGAACACCATTGTACAATCACTCTGACGCTAGTTGCTATATTAACAGCTTTATCAACTAATCCATTATCTTCCTCTTCCTCTTCCTCTTGATCTTCTGATTGTGTTATATCATTAATATTTTTAGAAGATGACGTTGACGATATTATTCTTGGTGGTGATTGTGAACAACAAAAAGGAATTGGTTGTATTGTGCTGGTGGAATTGTATGAAGACAACAATGATGATGATGATGATAACGATGATGATGGACTAGAATCAAAATCAAATATATCCAAATCATCAATATCCAAATCATCATCATCATCATCCATCCAAGGAAATTTTGATGGTGTATTATTTGAGGAAGATGAAGTCGTTGTAGATGGTGTAGAAGATGAAGATGCTGCATTATTTTTATCGTTCTTATTATTATTAATATTGTGATTTGTTGAAGAAAAAGCATGATCATAATTACAGTCATAGTCATAGTTATAGTCATAATTAAAGTAACTGTCGTTACTGTTGTCATTTTTGTTACTGGTAGAATACCCGGGTTTTAATTTTGTAGGAGCAATTTTACATATTGTAAAACAATCCTTTTTCTTTTTCATAATTTTCTTATTGTTATTGTCAATACTATTTTCCTTGTCGTCTTTATCCTCCTCTTCCTCTTCACAATCAGAAGAATCTATGGCTATGCATTGTTCAACTTGGTCATTAAATCTAATATGATGATTATGTTGATTACTTTCACGTTCAATTGGTAATAGTATTGATTTAGTTGGACCAGCTATAGGAGTAGTTGGAGCCGATATTGTAGAACAAGTTGATGCAGTTTCACAATCACTGCCAAGATCGCCGTCGCCACAATTATTATTATTTATTATCATTGATGTTGTTGGTATTATTGAAGAAGCGGTCGTCGATATTATATCTTTATAATAATTAGTAATATTAATATCATATTGGTTTTTGTCGCTAATTGTATTTGTAGCACAAGATTTAGGACGTAATATTTCAGATATTTTTTTCTTTTTCAGACAAGATTTAGATTTTGACGTTGATGTGAACATTTGAGGTGATGATGTCGAAGAATTGGTACATGGATCAGAAGATATAGATAAAGCAGGTGATACGAGTGATGTAGGTGAAGAATGTATATCGTTAACGTAATTAACGTAATCGGTATTGTTAGAATTTGATAATGGTGGTAATGGTTGCGATGAGGCTTTCATTAAATGGAATTCATCTTCGGTGTGAAAAGGACCGTACAACCATGTAACATCGTTATCTTTAAGCCTAAAAATAATAAAAATTGAGATTAATAAATATATTTTTATTAAATACCAATATATCAATTTGTGCAGCAGCAGGTCCATTGATCTATCTTACCAATTGATTTTTTCAGGATTAACGGTTCTCAAATGATATTTCTGTTTTGCCCAGGTTCTCCAGGAAGCATTTTCCAATCTGATACCATTAGCGATCTCTTTTTTTTGTTTAGACATTGCCTTCCATGAAGTCCAAATATCATCTTCCTTTTTCCACTCGTGGGACAAATAGTCAACACAGATTTCTGGAGGATGTTTTACACCAGGCGTTATTCCGGTTAAATTGTCATCAGGAATTATCATTGCTATTGTCATTATTATTTTATTATTTTAAAAAGCTGTTTGAAAAGACGTAAAGAGGGAATTTTAAAATAGAGAAATAACAAGCGAGAAAAAGTTGTGATTGTAATATTTTTTCTTTTTGGAATATGTTTTAAAATGGCGCAAAAGAAAAGGGAAGACGGTGATGAATTAATAATGATGATGATGATGATGATGATGATATTTATTAGTTAATAATAAAATGTTTTTTTATTTCTCTTTATCAAAAGGAAATTTTTTGTTTTTGTTGTTGGAAAAAAATATATATATATATAAAAATTAAAATTAATGTTTATATATAAGTTTTATTTTTTTATATATCACAGTATTATTATGTTGATGTGATGATGATGATTAAGCACTCGGATAAGAAAATTATATTATTAATGAAATTAAGAGTTGCATTAAACAGGTAAAATAAAAAAATAAAAATAAAAAATAAAAAGATATTAAAGATAAGAGTAAAAAATAATTCTTTTTTCTTTTTTTTCTTTTTGCGTTTTCTTTTTCTCTTTCTTATCAAAATTTAATCGTGCTTATATATATGAATTTTCTGATATGCAAGTGTGAGAGAAAAGATTTAGAATATTGTTATTCTAATAATAATTAAAAAAAAAATTTTTCTTTAAAAAAAACTATTTAGAAAATAAAAATTTTTATTTTATATTTTGAATTTGAATTTTTTCAGATTTTTGATGCTTAAATAGTAATAGGAGTGAGTCCAAATTTATAAAATAAATAAATAAATATATAATATAATACTTAAATTGGGGATTTATGATTTCTTTATTAAAAAAAAAAACTACAATTGAAATTAAATTAAATTATTATTTATTATATTAATTTAAGTAAAATAACGTGTCGATGATTTTAAATAATTAGTAATATATTAAAAAAAATTTTTTGTTTTAACTGGTAATCTCATTCATTATTAAAGTCGCAGCTACTAGCGGTCAAATAGTTACAATAAAATGATTAGGCACAATTGTAATATTATTACACCCAATTATCAACATTAACACTAACACATTTTTAACAATAAATAGTCATTTACATATCTATTATTGTCTTCTTTTCGGTTTTTATTCTCTTTCCTCATGCTTCACTAAAATCTCTCTCTCCCTCCATAATTTTTTTAGCCAATCAAATTACAATCCGAAGATTATTAAAGGGAGTATTCGGAAGAGTTTGTTTTGTAGCTCTCTTGCTCATTATTATTATTATTATTATTATTATTATTATTATTATTGACTACAAACACGTCATAATAATTAATTAATTTAGTCAATAGTGATAGAAATAGAAATCGACAAATATATTACCATTACGATATCTACCATGTCTATTTGCTGATTCACGGATCCGGAAATTTCCGAATTTAAATTCCAATTTTATTATTTGATGATATTTTTATATTTTTTCATTTTTCGACTAGTTGTGTTTTGGTTTGTTGAACTAATGCGCCACATTTTATGAAAAATTAAAGTTGGATTTACTAAATATGTGAAATAATTATAAGTTTGTATTTGAAGATAAGAATAATTCATAAATTTAAAAAAACTAGTTTTGAAAAAAAAACAATTAATTAAATACAAAAAAATGTCTAAAATCCCTTCCTCCCTTACTTTACTTAACAACTTTAATCCTTGTGATTTAATTCTTGTTACATTAACATTGATTGCTTGCAACAACTCACCACCACCCATTATTAAAAAAAATACTATGAATATGTATATTATCTAGATCACTTATACACATGCTTAATTATAGCCAACTATCACAACATATTACTGGGTATACACCATATAGTAAATGCACACATTTACATATAAGTACTTAATCTCCAAGCAATGACAATCACTGTTTTTGGTTGTTAATTGAATGTTACAATTTGTATATTTTTTGTTGTTGTTGTTGATTAGTAAGATTTGAAGATTACATTGATGCATATTTATTTGTTGAATGGCCTGAAATAGTAGTAGTAATGATATTTTTAAAGAGTGGAAGGAAATTATTATTTTATTAAATTAATCAATCAATCATTCATTCTAATCCCACTTTATCCATTTATCTACCTACTATTTATCTTCCACTGATCTGTCGCTGATTATACCACCAGTTTATGATGAAAAAGTCAAGTTGGTTGTTGGATAATTTTTTTATAAGCTTTTGTGATCTATTTGTGTGTGCGAATATCTGAACCGAATTATCACTCATAATTTTTTTTAACATAAACAATACCGACCAATCAAAACATTCGTTATAGTGTTTTTGAATTTAGTTAATTTTTTAATTTCCTATTTACAAAAAGGCTTTTTCGACTTTTTTACATATAGTAATAGGGCGTACGTGTGAACATTGTCTCACGAATCTTTTACGAACACAGGTGCCAAATTGCTAAACACCACGACTGTAATATGATTGTGATATGTTTCTTGCTTCGTGTTTTTTTTAATTATCCAATATATAAGATAATTAGGGTGATTAATTCAATGCGTAGATTAGGAAGAAACTTGCCTGCTTTCTCTATCTGCTTGCTACTTGGTATTTGGTAAATTTTTTTTTTTTTTAAACAATTCTTCCTAACATGACATCAAGATCTTTGTAAGGTCTTCTACTGTAAAAAACTTGAAATCTTACTGTCTAGGACCACTGAGTTTGTTTTCTTGGAGGAATTGAATTGCAAGGTTTCATGCCATCAATCTTTTCTTTGACTTTCTTAATAACACCCTAGATAAGTTCATCCACCACTGAATACCAAGTCTCCTCATCGGTTTGGTTCATATCATATTCAGTAACAATTCCGTTCCTTTCAATTCTTGCTCTTTGTTCCCTCCAGACCCTTTGATGTTCTGTGGTTATCATCCATATACAACCCTTGGATTTAGCCAAAGCTAGACATCTCTCGTTTCCAGCAACAGATGCTTATCTCATGCAAATATGACCATAGAGCCCAAGAATTACAGCACTATTGGGAGTATTTTTTTTTTTAAAAAAAAAACAAGGCAAGGAAATTGTCCATTGTATATTTAAATTGGTTGATACTCGTATTCTTGAAGATTGTCCAAGAAAAGTAAAAAATTACTTGTGAAGTTTACCAAAAGAAAGGAAAACATCAAAGAAAAGAAAACATAATGCAAACGAGCAATTACAAGATTCCGCTCTGTATCCCTTTATTTCTATTCTTATATAAGATCTTTATCCTTTTAACGAAATTTTTTGGAGCTTATCTTCATCTTGATCTGATGACGAATCGATACTGTATAGTGAATGGGTGGTATTTATCCAACATAGTAACTTGTTATATGAATTAGAACATTGGAAAAAATTTTGATCCGTTAAAATACTTCACAAACCAATATAATTAATTAAAAAGCGTAATAATAATAATAATAATAATAATAATAATTACCATCAATAATAAATGTTGGTAGGTTAAAATACATTCTGCCTTCTTTCGCTGCTTTTATATTCACAAAATGTCCCGATTTCTGAAGGGTGAGTCAGTGCCGTCTACCCTCTTTTTTCTTGTAGCTTTTGTTGATCTTTGATTCCGTGAGCATGGAAGAGTTCAATAAGTCTTCCATCAAAATCCCCTCGGATATCATG